ATAAGAAATTGCATTCTTATGAAAAATCTTCTTCTGGTAGCTCCGGATTTGGAACTACACTTTCAAAGAAGTCTTTGGATATGGAAATGAGGCATATGGTATGTCCATTTATTCCATTATTCACGTTTTTTATACCTGAAATCAATTAGATTATGTAGTTTTAATTAATGAATATAATTTCACGAGGAAGCTATTTATGCTTAATCATGATACATGCTTTGAAGTAAAAGCTACGAATTTCAATAGTTTTTCTTTTCTGTGTATTGTCAATAGTTTATGAGCTATGACATGTCTGTATTCCCATGTGTTCTCTAAAATAATGGAATAATCAATAAACTAAAACACGTTGGTTATTTATCCTCATCCCTAAGATTATGGTTGGAAAGTAGTTTAAGGCAAAAGTGTTTGTTCATGTCCGATATTGAGAAATAGATTGAATAGAAAGATTTATATTTTGTTGATTCAGTAGACTGACATTAATATTATTATAGGATTTGAGATATAGTGCAAGCATGTTACAAGTTAGAACAGAATGTTGACATAAATTTCAGAGTATCTGAATTAGATATAGTTTTAAACAGCACTTAAAAGTATGTCTGAATTCGAACGAGTAATACACATTATGGTGCAACAAATAATGTATCCACTATTTTGACACAAAAATGGAATAATTCACTTGTGTTTTACATTAGGTAAGTTTCAAGTGTGTGTTTGGTTTCTCTTCCACAGGACATAAGGCGAAGCACCCACGGTAATCTGCGTCCACTAGTGACAAGCATTCCAGCTTCCTCAATGTACAGTGTGAGATCAGGTAGTTCCTCAAAGAGCAGAACAGTGAGTGTTTCTGATTCCCCACTTGCCACAAGCAGCACTACCAGCTCTGAACCAAGTGTAAATAACAATTCCACCACATCTTATGATGGAAGTGAGATTGAAGAAAATGATTTTGGAAGTGAGAGGGGATCACTGCTCTAGCCACTTTATTTGTATGTGGTACAACAAACAACACAGATATTCATGTGATACCATGTTCTCTAGTTGATGTGGTAATGAAGAAAGGTTGTAGTATAGTAGTACATTGTCTCTGTGCCTCTAGTGTTCTGATACAATAGAAGTGTGCCTCCGGATATTTTATGAGCTTTATTATAGGAGAGAACATGAGCATGTTTGTGTCACGAGGATTGTTTGTACGGAACCTTGAACTATCAATTGACAATCTCGTTCAATTGTTACAAGCTACATCTATTTTTCAAATGTTCATAGTGTAGACTTAAACTTCGATGCACGAGCAAGTGAACATTTGAATTTCTACTTATTAATTATGGGGCTTAAGGAACTGAAGGGCATTGGTTTTATTTGCTTCAGGCATTTCTTTATTGAACCTAATTCTCTAAGATACCCGGGAAGATACAACTAGTTTTGTTATTCTTGAGCATCTCCCATGCAAAAATTTAATAGACCGATACCTGTTCATTTTTAACAACAAAAAAAAAACATAAAATTGCCTCCATAGTGTTAGTGTTTTACTATGACTCATTATTTGAAAAAAATCAACTCCTTTATGAAATATTTTTTTGTTAGGAGCTATGTTTTTCTGAAATTATATATATAATTTGATTATTTATGTAGTTTAATCCTATTTAGTATTAATTAATGTATTATAACACTTTATTATTGTAGTTTAGAACTTTGCATTTTTATGGAGTTAAAGTGTTGAATTCTTGTTGTATTAAAAATATTATATTATATATATATTTATATATATATGTCTTTAATAGGCTTTTTAATGTTATTTTTATAATAAGTAAACTCGTAAGAGTTTATGAAAAGTTTACATAAACTTTTGAATTTGATAATCTTGACTTCTACAACTTATTTTAAGAAAGAAGGAGAAAGGAGAAGAGAAAGAGTATGGAAAACCTACACCTTTCGCATTATTTAGGTAGCAGAGATATCAATTTGACCAATAACCTTGAATTAACTTAGCCCACTTCTAATTAATAATAGTCATTTATTTTGATCCCATTAATAAAGGAGCTTAAATCCTCCAAAACACACAATCTCAAATAAAAAGAGGTTTAAGATTTAGGGCTCAACACTAAAGAGAGTTTTTGTCATAGGTTTTTCTCTCAAGCTTAATTTTGTTTTGTCACTTCTTAGACACAAGCTTTGCTGCTAGCAATTCTTTCTCCAAGTGCACTTTCACTTTCTTAGCTTTTTGACAATTGAGAGTCACTTTTTAAAATAAATTATGTAAATAAAGTTACTTTGAAACCATTTACACATTTGAAGATGTTGTTGTAGGTGTTGCTATGGATCATAATGACACCCATTACATGTGAGAAAAAAAATTAATTTTATATACTTTTTCTTATAATTATTACATCATAAATCATATAGTGACTTGTAAAATGCAATTATGTGTAAAGTTGATTTTTTTTTTAAGTTTTTATAGGTCATAGTGACTTGCATTTTTTTTTTGTCTCTCTAGCCCATGACACCACTTTTTTTCTTATTTAAAAAAATTATTTTTTTAAAAAAAATGTGTATATGTCTTTTTTTTATTAGTTAAGCTTATTTTTCTAAATATGTAATATTAAAAAAATGAGGGCATTTATTTTTAAAATTTTGGTATATTTATTAAATAAATCTTACATTTTTTAATTTATTAAATTAAATATTTTTATTTATCAAGTTTTAAAAATAAAAAATGAAGCCAATAGATAAATAAATAACAGAAAAAACAGAAAATGGGAGGGGGGTTGAGGGTTTCGCGAATTTTTTACTAAAATAGAATTTTAAATTTTTTTTACCAAAATAACACTTGTACCAATTTATTTACCCAAGTAGCACCTTTTATTGTTCACACTCGGGGAACCGAATTTTGAGCTGTTAATTTTTTTTTTCCATTTTGGATCTGAGCATGGGGGATAAAAATGGATTCGGATTGGCTCATTCTCCTTGCAGAACGACCCGTTCTCCTTGCAACACTGCCCGTTCTCCTTGCAGAACGACCTGTTTTCCATGAAGAACGGCCTGTTCTACTTTCAGAACGACCCGTTCTACTTTCAGATGGGCCGTTCCAGAGCAAAAAATTCACACATGACGAATGGATCAGAACGGGCCGTTCTGCTTGGACGTTCCAGTTTCAAAAATAATAGACTACGCATGCAACCAGAATCGATCGTTCTGCTTGCAGAACGGGCCGTTTCAATTGCAAAATCAACGCAAAACCTGGACTACAAACTGAATTTTTTTTAAAACACTACGAATTTGAGCACAAAAAAAATTGAAGTTCAGAATTCGGTTCTTCAGGAATTAAATTTTGAGTATGAACAGTAAAATGTGCTACTTGGGTAAATAAATTGATACAAGTGCTGTTTTGGTAAAGTTTTTAAAAAAAATTCTATTTTAGTAAAAAATTTGGGTTTCGCTATTCCTGCCAGCGACCCAAAAGAAACATAATTGAAAAAAAAACAAAAAATTGAAAAGAAAAAATAGTGGAGCAACTCCAATGGGAGTTGCTTGTCCCATGAAGCAACTTAAGTCTCGATATGTTGCCATTGGAGGATTCTGACATGGCAACATGAGTTACTTGAAAAAGAGAGAGAGTTGTTTCCTCAAGCAACCGTTCCTTACCAGATTTCAAGCAGATCTTATTGAACATATTTGGGAACGTTTCGAAAATAATAATGATGAAAATTAATTTCCTAATGTTTATGTATTTACTATTTCTTTATTTTATTTTTTAATTTCTACTTATTATGTATTTTTTCTCGTAATTTATTTTCTTTCATCGTAGCGCAATTATCCTTTTTAATAAAAATTTAAATTTGGTTCATAAATGATTAGAAAAAAAATTCTAAAAGTTGAATTTCATGAAGTTTCTTACCATTGGAGTAAATTTGTGTTTGAGTTGCTTAATGCTGACATGACACACTAAAGACTACTTTTTTCATTTTTTAATGCATGAAGCAACTCAAATGAGTTGCTTGCATTGGAGATGCCCATTAATTTTATAAATATGTAATATTTAGAAAAATGAAAAAGGTTTATTTTAAATTTTTTACTATATTTATTAAATAAATCTTACACTTTTTTTTCAAATTTTTTAAAAATAAATTATATTTATTTATCAGATTTTTTTAAAAAAAAATGAAAAACCAAACATAAAAAATAGATAAATAAAAATATATTTTTTTCATTTTTTTAAGATTTTTCAGTTTTTCATAATGGTTCATGCATGTGCCACATTGATCAAATCCTTTGGTGTTATTATTGTTGTTTTTTTTATCACTATATATTTCATCATTTTTAAAATATTTTTTAAGGTAAAAATACATTTTTCTTTCCTTATATTATTTATTAGTGTCAATTTAGTATCAATTTAATTAATTGAATCAATTTAGTCTCACATCTTTAAAATGTATCTCACTGTTTGATTTTTCATATCCTTTGTTTAAATACTTAACAGATTTGACACGTGTTATTCCATATGTCATATTGTTGTGCCACATGTCATGTTGTCATGTCACGTGTTATGTCATCTTGACATATGTTATGTTACGTGTTATAATGTCCAACCATGTAATAATGACAAATAATTATATATATATCGTGGTATACTTGATACGTACAATATAAATTGCAATAAAAATTATGACAAATAGTTAATTGTTGAACAATGAAATAGTATGATTACATAGACACCACAACAAAATATAATATAATTGACAAATTTCAATTTAGATGATGAAATATGACTTCATTTCAAATGGTTCTTTGCTTGCAACATTATTGATATTGCTTAAATATATGGATTGAAAGTTTGAAATGATAACAAATTATCCAATGAGAAGAACAGCAAATTGGGAAACCACACGCAAATTTATCATAACGAGAAAGAGGACAAACGTGGAATAAAAACTCAAACAAACAAGGTAAGTTTGCCTTGTAGAAATTAATACAATGCAAGTAAATATTCTGAAAGCAATGGAAAATCATTTAAATAACATAAATTGGATAAAGAAAAAGTAATTGTTCTTTGGATAATGATAGCTGAGTATTGTATAACAAGTCTGGATGGCAGTGAGAAGAGTTATCAACGCAGCAGCAAAGTTGTAACCGCGTCTTAAAAACTTGTTCAGACCGTAAAGCCATTCTGAAAATCGGCTCAAATAATGCCACACAATTATGGGAAAGCCTATGACACAATTTGTTGCATTATAGGTATTGAGGGCATGAATCATGTTCCAGTAAGTTGAATCAACAAGCGCACGGTCAACTCCATTTGTGATGGAACGAAGAAGATCCATGAGATGGTGATTACTCATACCCAACTCATCTACGATGATTCCCTTGTTTTTAAGCAGTTGAACGTCGCTTGCACAGCATATCAAATCATTGTAGAGCAACGCCCGAACAGTGAACAAATCTCTTCCAACACTTTTTTTCCACCTGGTAGTGTGAAGCTCCCAAGCAATAAAATTTCGCCACGTTGCTTCCATGGTTTGAGTGATATGCAAGGGAGGAACTTCTAGCACCCCATTCCTGCTGCTGAATTTTGGAATAATAGAATTGTCTTCAGTTTTGACTATAGTAACCCCAGCGGCGGCTAAGAGCCTAGTGGCACAAAATTTGGGTTCTATTTGTTTATTAACATTAACTTCAATATCAATAACACATGAACCATGGTGGCTTTGGGGATTGAGAATGAAGGAGTGAACAAGTTGAAGAATGTGAGAGGCATCAATGGGATCGGGAATAGAGATAGAACTTGAATCACGAGAGTAGCCAAAAAGAGACAGCGCCAAATCTTGTGTAATACTAAGATAAATCTTGCCGCTAAACGAATTGTCACGAAGAACGAGATGGGGAAAAACTACAGCGAAGACGTTATGAAGAAGAAAAAAGGGTATCTGGTTTTCTAATAAGGTGAGATCGCTCAAGATGAGTTCGATATTCCCGAGTTGAGCTGCTGGGCTAGGAGGGAGTGTGTGATATTCGAGTTGTAGCTTTGAATTCCATTCCACTGATTGAGAAATGAAAAGCTCTAAGAGAAAGCACGCGCCGTGTAACACAATGGTGGCTAGACTGTAGCTGTCCAAATCGATTTGTTCCCCATAGCTAGTGCGAACAGCTGCGTCTAACGTCAAGATGACTCTCATACAGTCTTTTAGAATTTCGTTTTGAAAAATGCTTGCTGTTCTATTTAAAAGGTGCATCATGCAACGGAACTTGATCTCTTCCATTGGTAGAAGTTCCTTTCTTCCCTTGAACCGGTGCCCGATCGACACCACCTTTGGCTCGTACTCTTTCTTGCTCCATTTCCCAAGTTCCTCCGGAACAATGGGAATGCTGTGTGGCTGACAATCATTTTTGTGTATGGATTCCAACAATACCGTTGTTGCGTCTAGCCATGTATCCAAATCTGTGTCAGTGTCACTGTCCATCGCCTGCAATTATGGAAAAACATAGTGAATGAATGAGTGGTTAGAAGATTGAATATTAGAGGTGAAAGGGAAAAAACACCCACACTGACACACAGTTGAGGTTGAGGAAAGAGTCACTGCCCCTTTGTTAATACGATGAGGCCACTTCATTACACCATGATATATACTGTTTTTTACTTTTAATATGTTGAAAACAAAAAGAAACAGACATCAAAATAAATTAATTACACCTTATAATTAAAATGTTACTCCTGATAAGAGCTGAGACTCTGACTCACTCAGAAGTTGACTCACTCAGAAGATTTTCTAACTCTAAAAAATAGACCAAAAGTATATTTTAATTTTTTTTAACTGAATGATCTCAATTAAGTTAAAAGACATCTATACTTAAGATAGGTGAGAGAAGTGATTCATTCTAGTTGGGTCATTGTGCACCTACTTCTTGGGCTAATCACTACTAGAAAAATTCATATTTGTGACGAATTTTGTGACGGAAAAAATAGCATCGCTAATAGTGACAGATTTTGTGAGGGAAATTTAAGTTTTGGGACGGACTACAATTTATTGACTTTTGTGACGGATTTTGTGACGGAATAT